TCCGGTGCCCGCGTGGTCCGCCACTTTACTCCCCGTCCCCTTGGTCTGCAGACCAGGGAGACGGGGAGCAAAGCAGAGCAAAGCCAAGGAGCACACGGGCAGCGGACAGCCCAGACGCGTCTGGGCTGTCCACTGCCCGCGTGCTCCGCCGCTTTGCTTCCTCTCCCTGGTCTGCTGGAGACCAGGGAGAGGAAGGGCCCCGTTCGTAACTGCGGATCCGACATAAGTCGGATCCGCGTAACTCAGGGACTGCCTGTACATGACATGCCGCATGAGACAGGTGATCAGGATTCATCACTAAATTAAGTCGGCTGGTGAGATTATCTTTTCTTGTCTGGGCTGGATACTGATGGGGATATAGTAAAAATATAGTAAGTTATGTATGTGGAGACAAAGATTGGGTTTCTTGACTTAAATTCTCAATCTTACTGATGTATTAACATACCTGTAATATTTCCAATCAAATCCTTTAGAGAAGATAGAACTTCAAATGTTTACATATCAAAGACTAAATATTAACTGCAATCAACAGACAGCACATGGTCCTTGTCCCACTGAAGTCAATGATAAAAATCCCATTTAGAACAGGCCATTGAAAAGAACTGCTTTTTCAGAAACAGAGTATGTTCAAGAGGGGCTGAAAAAAATCAGAAGAGACTCTTCATAGAATCATAGAATTGTAGGGCTGGTTAGGGATATAAGCGACTATTCAAGTAGTCAACTACCCGTTAAGCTTAGGCTTATCTAGTAGTCAAGTCACTACTCGCTCCCCACCCTTGCTTCCTCTGTATCAGAGGCAGCAGGGAGATGGGGAAGCTTTTGTATGTTCAAGAGGGGCTGAAAAAAATCAGAAGAGACTCTTCATAGAATCATAGAATTGTAGGGCTGGTTAGGGATATAAGCGACTATTCAAGTAGTCAACTACCCGTTAAGCTTAGGCTTATCTAGTAGTCAAGTCACTACTCGCTCCCCACCCTTGCTTCCTCTGTATCAGAGGCAGCAGGGAGATGGGGAAGCTTTTTACTACATTTAAAAAGCAGAGCTGCAGTGGTCTGGGACCCCAAGTGAGCTAGGGCTGCTGAGTCCCAGCTCACACTCGGTCCCAGTCCTCTTAAGTCTCGGCTTGACAAAGCCCTGGCCGGGTTGATTTAGTTGGGATTGGTCCTGCCTAGAGCAGGGGGCTAGACTTGATGACCTTCTGAGGTCTCTTCCAGTTCTATGGTTCTATGATTCTATCCCCGCTGTAGCTCTGCAGTTTAAATATAGTAGGAGCTGGGCTGCCTGCACACTCGGCTCCTACTACATTTAAACTGCAAAGCTACAGCTTATTGACTAATCATGTACTTACTACAAATTGTATTGAGTACAAAATTAGTCAGTTACCCACTTTTTAACATCCTTGAGGTTCTTCCAGCCCTAAGAAGTCATCAAATCAAACCCCTTGCACTGTGGCACAGCCAAGTACAACTGTACCATCTCTGATGTGCATCTGTCCAGCCTCGTTTTAAAACCTACAAAGGTAGCAAGTCCAAAACCTCCTTTGCAAGCCTATTCCAGATTTTAATTACCCTTTACGTTAGAAAGTAATTTTTAATATCTAATCTAAAACTCTCTTGGTGCAATTAAGACCATTATTTTTTTCTAACTTTCAGTAAACATGGGAGAACAATTGATCATTGTCCTCTTAAGAGCCCTTAACATACCTGAAAAATTATCAGGTCTCCTGAGTTCTCTCAAGACTAAAAATTACCTTTTTTAAAAAATGGCTTCATAAGTCACATTTTCTAAACCTAGAATGGAACATAGTACTTCAGCTGAGGCCTCACCACTGCCAATTACTTCTCATGTCTTACATACAAACACTCCTAAAACACCACAGAACAATTTTAGCCTTTTTTGCAGCTGCATCACATTGCTGACTCTTGTCCACTTTATGCATTCTAATCCCCAGATCCTTTTCAGCAGTACTATCGCCTACCCATAAGTTATTCCCATTTTGTAGTTGTGCATTTGATTTTTCAAATAGGGACGCTGGAAAAGAGAACAAGAGGCTCAGTATCAGAATATTTGTAAACAGCACTGCACAAATTCACACTAGTGCCATTTGCTTTCCACTACTCGCTTTCTGCCCCAATTATGGTCGGTTTGATAGCATCTATACCATTGATTGCAGTCTTCTACCGTATTAACTTTCTCTCTAGTCACCCAGGTGTTCTTTTCCCTTCCTTCTGTACTCCATTGCCACAGCAATTATGGCTGGTTTTAATCTGTATATAGCTGCACGGTTACTTAAAAACCTGGAAAATCTAGTCATGCATTTTATTGCAAAGAAAAATTTGGAAATAATTAGATCGTAGAAGACAGACGGAAATCATTCTAATCAAACTACGTTTGCTAAGTATTTTTAATATACATCTTGGATTAAAATTGTTTTAGACAAATGTTTTTATGCTAAAAACTTAATTTTTAATTAGTGTATACAGAAATGAATATTGGGCAATTATATTTAAATAGGATTTTAATTTTTGTAACTTTAAAAATGAAAGTTTTTATATATATGTAAGAAAATAATTGCAGGGATGAAGTAGTCTTCTGATTAAGGCACTGCACTGGAGATGGGAAAGTTGGGTTCAATCCATGGGTGTGCCATAAGCCTCCAGCATGATCTTGGGCAGATCACTTAATCTCTCTGTGCCTCTGTTTCCCCTCTGCAAAAAGGAGTTAATGTGTCATTTGTCTACATACTGGAAGGGCTGTCTCTATGTATAGTTGCTTACGAACAGGGCAAGTAGTGCAGTAGGATCTTGACCAGGTGTTAGTACTATCAATGAAAAAAATAGTAGTGCTGAGTCTTAAAACAAAAAGGCAAGTAGGCATAATTACTCAGTGAGTAGACAGCACTGCTTTCCCTGTGTAATTCATCCTTGAAAATTTTTACTTGTTCATTCATCTGGGGAAATTTTTCTCTGTTAAGTAAATGAAACATTACCTTGATTTTTATCACAGTAATTAGAGATGAATAATTTGATGGTTAGGGTAGTAAATAACAGTTTTATGGCAATACTCTATAGAAAAAGAAGGGATAATTAAAACTGACACATTTTCTCTCTCTTGCATGGCAGCTATGGTGCTATTAAAAAGATCTCGAACTCCTATTTTCAAAGTAGACCGACCTTTTATATTTTTCCTGAGGCACTCCAATACAGGTAGGCATAATTCATTTATTCAGCATAAGCAGGAGTCACTCAAGAGGAAAAAAAAAAATCTTATCTCTAATAATTAAGGAGTTGCTCACTAAAATGACCAATTTCCATTTCAACTATCATAAAATATAATCTCGCAGAATAAATTTTCAACTACAAAAAACTGAAGCAGAAAAATTGACAAAATAATGGGAATTCAGTAAAAGTTGTTTTTAGCATCAGTTTTGTGCTCAAAAACACTCTGATGGCCCTGAGGAGTAATGCACATTATTCCAAAGAACGGAAAGGCACAGCACATGTAGGGTAGTGCCAGTTTTTTCTACCCTGTCCTGTCCCTATGCACAAATTTAAGCATCTCATTTAGAAAGTTATGCAGCAGTGCTGTCACTGACACTTGTAAGTATTAAAAGTGGTTTTGATAAGCAAACTGAACCTATAAATTAAAACTTACTATACTCAACTCTGCACTAAATAGGACAGAAATTGGGACTGTAAAATACAAATGTAGAGAAATCAAGCATACTTCAGCAATAAAGAAAACATGAAACAGCACTCTAATCAGAAACAGTCATAGCACAAACATTTTTTCCTTTTCTTTTTATGAAAAAAGTAATAAAATGTGCAACTGCCTTCAGTAGAAGTCTGTCTTCTCTAGGCAAGGATAAGAGTAAATCAAGCTATTAAAAACACTTTTAAATGTATGGCTTCTTAACCATTTTTTGGGGGGAAGCAAGCGCCAAACTCCTATCACCTGCAAGTTAATAGGTGTCATTACAGAACAAAAGCCCAGGATCTTGCCCCTCATTTATATTCTGAAATGTGCTAGGCATTTTCCAAATACTAAGGAAAATATAACCCAGTCCCAATCACGATACACCACTTTACTCTCTGAAATTCCACTTTGGAACATTTCTCTCTAGAGAGAAAAGCAGCTGATAAAATATCCCATTTCAATTGAAGTGATTTAAAGCATAGGTGAATTAGTGACTCTAATGAGCCAAATTCATCTTTGATGTAGCTCCAGTACAAACATACAGGAAATAATCTGTCCCATTACCACTTTGTCAAGTTCAAAGCCATTTTCTTTTTAGCAAGGATTTAGTCATACCAGAATAGAAAGCTTTGATACCAACCCTTTAACAATTAGCTGAATCTAATGCGCAGAATTAATAAGTTAACCTGCTCCTTACCTGGTTTCACAGGCTCCTAAAAATGCAGCAGAGTTACTGCAACTGCATCCCCCAAAACTGTATTTGAACTTACATGACTTTCTAACAGCTAATCTACCTGTTGCATGTACAAATTAGGGACACAATTCCATGTATAGGAAATAAGTGTTTGAGTATGCAATTTTAATTAAATGTTTATTTTAACTCACAGGGTCAGTGCTCTTTATAGGAAGAGTTACAAATCCCTCAGAATAAGTGTCCAATGCACTCTACCGTTACTCCTGTGGTCATCTTTCCTTCAGTGCAATTGAGGCACACTATGCATATTTATTAAAAACTGGATATTTACAATTATTTTTCAAAAATCCACAAAGAAGAGCAGATGAATGTTTCACTAAATATCCTTGTAAATAAAATGTATCACATTTGCATTTTGTGTAGCACACTTTTATTTTGTAGCTGTATAAGTATTATTTACTCTTTTAAAAAAACGGTTGGCATCATGAGGTAACAGGAGACTGACTACAACCAACAGGATGTATAGCAGGTATTTGTACTCTATGCTCACAAGACTGATTCAGCTGAGAGGAGGCAATATCAATCCACCACAAAACTTTACATTATCTTCTATTTTGCAAGTAGTGGTTTATTTCTTGCTCCTGAAATCAAGGTTTTGAACAAAAAATTAGAAACTGAATTAAGTTCCAGAACCAGTTACATTATTACATTGAAGTAACGAGGTAAAGAGACAGCCTGAAATGTTGCCAAAAGAAACAATCCAGTTGAGAGACAGGCTGTTAAGGAATTGGTGCCAGGACACCAGTCTACAAGCCCACTGGAGAATGAATATGTACTTTGGTTGCTAACCTGAGCCACTATGTCCCACACTACCATTGTCACCCAGTCTAGCTAAATTAAAGCTAACATTACTAGTGGGTATACCCATGCTACACTCACACCTTCACTTGCAGTATACACAGTGAGTATCTCTACTCACCTTACGAGCTGAATCAGTAACACCACATGCACTACAGGTTGAACACTTGGGCAGTTTGGCACCCTGAGGACATGACTGGTGCTGAACCAGAGAATTTGCCAAACAAATGGTAGGTCAGTATTATCTAGCAGCACTATCAATACTCCCACTGCTTATTGGGCTCATAGAAGACATTTAGGGATAAATTAGAGATAAACACCATGGAACACTGAGAACCAGGACTGGTGGCTGTAAATGAATTTTATGGGACTGTGGGAAACTACCATACTCTTGATAAGTGGACATGCATCCAGCTAACTAAAATCATGCTGGACCACGGATGTTGCCAGACTAGAGAGGTTCAACCTGTATTTCCAATTCAGACCTTACATTACAAAAATTCCCTTCCCACAACAAACCTCATTAAGGAGCAAAGGATGTGGTGGAGGTAATTTGAAAGATTGCTAAACCTCAAAGAAAAATTAAATTTTGCATTTCTCTGGTGTACATACATGAGATTTGTGATGCTGTTCAGTAAACAGACTTAGAATGTCAACTTATTGCCATAACTATGTAGTCAATCAAAATGCAGCTTTTCATAATTTCTATTTAATTGTGAGAACTGAAGAGTCAGCATTTTCCATGAGGCTTACCATTGTAGCTGATTCCTAAATACTGACAATAAAACTGTGTAGATCTAAAAGGAGGAAGAAAGGGGGAGAGGGAGAGAAAAATGAGCCACTTCAATGAAAACTGTACTCATTCCTAACCACCAAAGATTAAAATAGAAGTTTTTTATTGGTGGAATAACAAAAGTGCTTTTCTTAAATATTTTTCAAAATACATTTGTACAACTTACAATAATATATCCAAAATAACTGTATATACAAAACATTACCTTGTTTAATGTATGTGCTTTTTTGAAAATTACAAAGCAACTTTTTTTTTTTTTTTTTTTTTTTGGCAAAGTTCAACCTTAACAGAGATGATAATTTTAAAGGTTGGGTTAAGAAAATAGAACCTGAGGGCAAGTGACACTTAAGTCAATGACAAGCAAGAAATTCTCTATTTTTATTTTGTTAAATAAAATGTTTTAGTGATATTTTTCACATTACAAAAATAAGAGAAATTAAGAAAAAGATTTATGGACACTTTTTCCATCATACTAGAGAGCAGCTTTTAGTCTTTTCAGATAAGGGACTTGAGCCAAGAGTGCATGTCAAAAATGAATGCAGGTAAATACAGCAGTGCCCTACTGTGGCTTTTCTATGGGAAAAACATCTCTTAGCTGCTGTTGACATGGTTGACTTGGTTGGATCTGCGGTGGATTTCTTCCAGAAAACTCTCAAGCTGTTCTATCAGCATTCGTTTTTTAAACCTGAATGGAAAAGAAAGTATACAAATAATGTTGTTAATGTTAAACTCACAGTTAAAGAAATGGACATTTCAAAACCAGACTTAACTCTGAAAACTTTTCAGTGTCCACTGCATACATCAAAGGTTCACTGTATATGTACTGTTGTCTGTAGAAGTTCTGGCAAGTTAGCGCCATAGCACAATTATTTCTTCCGACTCTTTTCTCTGTGTATATATTCACGGACAGAAGTTTAATTAACAGAGTCAACATTACTCAGCGTTTCTCAGTGTTTTCTGGCATGCTTTTCCAGAAAATTGAAGCCAGAAAAACAAACTCAAAACTTAAAAACTAGAGAATACAGAATTAACATATATGCCAATGCGATTTTAAAGCTACACTCTGAGCAATTACCAAATACAGCTATAATACACACATTTCCATGCTGCCTTATCAGATGCTGTAGAATGCATGGGAAATAGGGCATGTGACCAACGAAGGACAGAACTGTACTGAAAAGGATCTGCCATTTCCATCCCCCTTCTCAGGGACAGAGCTGTGAGTTTGTGATACAGACCAAGCAACAAAGCATGTCTATTCTCAACTCCTCACCTTGGTCTAAAAACTTGTGTGCTTGGTGCATGTTCTAAGGCTTGGTCAACACTTCCAAGTTTAAAGCACTGCCGTTGGGAGAGAGTTCTCCCACAGCGCTGGGAGTGTGGTCTCCCACAGTACTGGGAGTGTGGTCGTAGTACCTGTAGGTACCAATGACATAGGGAAGGATAGGAGAGAGGTCCTGGAGGCCAAATTTAGGCTTCTAGGAAAATGATTGAAAACCATGACCTCAATGGTAGAGTTCTCTGAAAAGCTTCCAGTTCTATATGGAGGGCCAGGTAGAGAGGCAGAACTGCAAGGTCTCAATGTGTGAATGAGATAATGGTGCAAGGAAGAGGGGTTTACAATTATTAGGAACTAGGGAAACTTTTGGAAAAGAGGTGCTTATACAGGAAGAATGGACTTCACCTAAACCAAAATGGAACCAGATTGCTGGCACTTAAAATGTAAAGGCAGTAAAGCAGTATTTTACAAAAAAGGCTGGGGGAAAACTGACAGGTGCAGAGGAATACATGGATCAGAGACACCCCTTGGGAGAGGTCTATTAATAGAGATTCGCTACGACCTAGTAAAGAAGAGAGGCTGGAAGATAAAATATGTAAAATCAGATGAGAAACAGTCAAATGAAAAAAGCCTAATTCAATCACATCAAGTAATAACAGACAGCTAAATAGGGACAAATTTTTAAAGTGCTTATATAGTAAGGCTAGAAGTCTAAATAATAAGATGGGTGAACAAGAGTGCCTCGTATTGAATGAGGATATTGATATAATAGGCATCACAGAAACTTGGTGGAATAAGGATAATCAATGGGACATAGTAATACCAGGTATAAAATACATCGGAAGGACAGAACAGGTCATACTGGTGGGGGAGTGGCAAAATATGCGAAAGAAAGCATATTGTCAAATGAAGTAAAATCTTAAATGAATCAAACTGTTCCACAGAATCTTTATGGATAGTAATTCCATGCTTTAATAATATGAATAAAGCTGTAGGGATATATTACTGAACCCTGACCAGGATAATGATAGTGACTGAAATGCGAAGGAAGATTAGAGAGGCTATAAAATTAAACTCCTCAATAATGAGGGGATTTCAAATATATTCATATTGAATGGACGCGTCACCTCAGGATGGGATGCAGAGATAAAGCTTATTGATTCCTTAAATAACTACTTCTTGGAGCAGTTGGTTCTGGAACCCACAAGAGGAGAGGCAATACTCCTCCTCATAACAAGAACTAGGATCACCAAATGAAATGAATAGGCAGTAAGTTTAAAACAAAAGGAAGCATTTCTTCACACAACACCGTCTGGAGAGCTCTTTGACCAGAGATGTGACGGCCAAGACTAACAGGGTCACAAAATCATGTGCTGAAGTGTCTCTAGCCTCTGGCTGCCAGAAGCTGGGAATGAGTAACATGAGATGGATCACTTGATCATTACTTGTTCTGTTCATTTCTTGTGAGGCATCTGGCGTTGATCACTGTCAGAAGACAGGATACTGGGCTAAACAGACAAATACAGTAAAACTCCGATGGTCCGGCATCTGACGGTCCGGCACTCCTGATGGTCCGGCACCATCAGGAACCCGGAAGTGCTCCGGGCAGCCGGACC